AAATTTAACTTTTTATTTTTCTAGATTGAAATTGTAACAACAACCGACAAGAATATTGGAAAAATTAAAGTAAGAATTTTTTTTTACAATATTTTACACTAAACACTTATATGATATATTTATATCTCAATGTGTAATTTATGTCAATTAAGATATAGAAACTCCATTGCACATTGTAACTTATAGTACCTAAATCATATTTTTTTCAACGAGGTACCTATGTGACAGTGGAGAATTCTTTAACTATGATATCTTGAATCTGTTATGTTATGGTGTCTGATATGTTTTTAAAATTCTATGTTGAGTATAATATTTTTTTTAAATTTCTTGTTTAATAAAGTATAACTTATTTTTGTATTAGTTTGATGTCAGGGGTGGATCAAGAAATAAAAAATGGGGCTACTAAACACAAAATATGCATCTATATATGTTGCATGGGTACAAATTAAATATCTATTCTTAGTTCTAAAAGTGATAAATTAAAAATCATTTGATTATTATAAAGATTGATTTAGCTTTAAAATAACCTAGGTATCTATTAGATATTTTAATAAATACACTTATAAGTGAAAAATGTTTCTTTGAAATAATATGTTGTAAGTGAAGGCTTCAGTCCTCTACTACCCATAGAATTCGCCCCTGTTAACTATGGAAATATCAATTAAAAATAAAAATATTTTTAATTGAGTATTATGAAATTGGTAGATTATGGGTATTTAGTATTTACATTACAGTTATTATTTTTATAAAACATGTCATAGCCCATAGAAATAATTCTATATATATTTCAAAGTATAATATGTAATGACTAATAATGTAATACATTATTTTAATAACTGGTCTAAAAAAAAAAAAACTACCGTAGAACACTAGAACCTCAACTATCCAAACCTCCGTTATATAAACCATCTATTATTCAATGTTATTTTGTTTCAATTCATATATCCGAACGTTAATATTTAAAATATCACAATGCACATGCCCATTTTCGTCAAATAAAAATTGATCAGTTTGTCAAAAACAAATAATAATATAGGGGGGTTTAGTGGCTGGGTGTATTAAGGCGTCGGTTGTGATGCGCACCGTCGCCGGTTCGATGGCATCGCTTTTTGGGCAGTTCACGCTGTCTGAAAAGAGAGGTCTCTACCTCCCACCTAGGCATCGCAAAAACTTACGGATGCCCATTCAAAATTCTGCCAAAACATCCACGAGTTCCAAAAGTCAACAGTTCCACAGGCTAATGACCCTTGCTGTCGAAGCCCCAACCCAATAAAAAAAAAAAAGATAATAATTTAAACATTGTAATAAGTCTATAATATTTAGTAATATTCTTATATTCTTAATTAGGAATAATAATATGTAATGTGTAGTAATAATAGTATAATAAGTTAATAATATGCAATAATAATCTAATAAATCACTGTACAAATTTTTTAATTTTTTGAGTTTTTATTTCTATTATCTGAACTCGTTGTTGTCCCAATTAGTTTGGATAATCGATGTTCTACTGTAAATAAGTAATAAATAGCTCTTTAAATTTTGTTTTGTTTTCAATAGTATATTATTTATTAGGTATTTAAATTTAAATTAAATTTTATACTTTTTGTTAGATTTACATTCATATTCAAAATATTTAAAATTGTTAATTACATTTTTATTTAATTATTTGAAATTATTATTTTGGAATTGATTAATTTCAATACCACTAGTGGCTTCATTAATATTCAAATGAAAAATGTTATTCCATGTCCTTGATAATGTTTTATAATTTATTCAGTGTGCCTACTTTGTTGACATTATTTGTGCTAAGTAATATTTTACTAAACAATAATTTATCAAACATACAATGTGTACAAGTACTGAAGTAGGTACCCATCAAATATGAATAACTAATAAGTTTTAAAAATTGTTCTAAGAACTTCTTTCTTTAAAAAAGTAAATTATCTACACTTGTTAAAGACTAAATCATCAATAAAACTGAATGATAAATATTTATTTTTTTTTTAATCTATAGTTAAAATTATTTAGATTACATAATTTAAAATCCAAATTTTAATTTTAGTCATCTTATATCATACCAATTTTTAGAACTAAATAACAATGTAAATTTTTCACAAGTAATAAATTCCCAAATTTTGACTTGCTATTAAAGTTTTTCAGAAATCTTTTTTTAACACGTTGACTGCCATGCAGCCGCCGGCGGCCTCAGGAATATTTATCATGGGTACGCCAAAGAMATTTTTCAGTGTCATTATAAATTAGTATTTGTATATATACTATTGAATTTGAAAAAAAATTAAAAATACAAAAAAAAATGTTAAAATTATGTTTAT